AGAGGAGGGATAATGCATAAAATATAGTCAAAGAAACGGGCTAGAAGAATAATGGTCGCAGCAGCATTCGGATATGGAAGCTCATATTTTAAGAGGTGCTTTGCCAAGAGACTCTGTAAAATAGACAAAAAGTGGCAGATGGCATCCCAGTTATAGGACTGACTGACAAGCAGCTTTGGGCAGGAGTTTATAATAAAGTACATTAAAACCCCTAGGGTGCAGGGATCAGGAAGAAGGATTTAAAATTTTCTGTATTTGAAGTGTTCTTAGTTAAAAGCCTGTAAGATGATGCAAACTGTCCAGGAGATGATTGATTGTCTTTCTTATGTTTACCATATGGTTCCATAGCACTTACTTACTTACTTACTTACTTAAAAGAGGGGCTCCCTCTCCTGAGGTGCTGACATATTGTAATAATGCAAACAAACAGTAACAGCAGAAAAGTAGATGAGCTGTTAGAGAAGAGCTGCGTATTAGGAATCAACCAACGCAAAGATGAAGCTGTCTGTCAAAGTAGACCCCAACGGTAGCATCAGAACACTACCATTCAGCAGAATGAAAAAAAAAAAAAATCAACTGGACAGCAGTGGAGATGCTACAGAGCCCCATCTCTGATATCCTGTCTTACAAGACGGAGCTAATAACACCTGCACTGTGCGCTCCCTTAATCACTTGCATTCCAGTGATTTATCTCCTTTCTGCTTATGGAGAAAACATGTTCTTCTAGTGCCCCCCCCCGCTTCAGGTTTTTATAAAGGATTTTGGGACTGTTTAAAAGAGACTGAACTGCTACCAGGTGTGTTTGTTTTTGGTTTTTTTTTTTTTTTTGCCCTTTGGCATTTGTTCTGTGAAACGAATGGATTTATTAAGAGATAGATAGGTATGTAGTTTTTTGGTTTTTGTATTTTTTTAATTTTTAACTGTGTTGACTGGACAGTAGATAGATTGAAAACCCTCTATCAGTTTGGAGATTAGAATAACCGTGTTAAGATGTCAAGACCTACAACTGCATAATAAGAACTTGTTCTTGTGTGTGTGTGTGTGTGTGTGTGTTAAACACTAGTTGCAATGTAGGATGGATGTTCTGGTACTTACTTAAAGCATGGATTTGGTGTGGAGCTGTGGGGGTTTGGCTTTGTAGCCTACAGCAGATACTGTTAATGCTTGCATGAAGGTTGCATACCTTTAAAACTTGAGTGGGGTGTGTGTGGGGGGGGGGATGTTTGAAGTCAAGGTGGAGGGCAAGTTAAAAACATCAGTTTCTTTCACCTTTTCCTTTGTTCTACAAATTCACTAGGACAGACTTAGCACAATGAGCTCATACTTGATCCGATCACTAGAAAGTTCCAGGCAAGTGTCAAAGGCACTGCATGGGAGATGATTCAAATTTCTGTTAATGTCATCGGACCCCATGCCCCAAACCCAGAAAAAGTGGACTGCAAAGAAACGTTTGAGCCTTGAAATTTTATTACCTTGTTTGCATCAACCAGTTATTCCTTTCAGCACCAATAAAGGACAAAAAAAAAAAACCCTCCCTGTTGTTCAAAATAGCTTGTTTTTGTCAGGTGTAAGATTGTGGTTTTCTTAGAGGCAAAGAAACCAATGAAAATACTTAAGTTTTTTTATTTTTTTAATACATTTATAACAAAATGTCAGAAGGTGTGTGCTTACCATATAAAAACATTAGGTCCCAGAAGGATACAATACCGAAAAATCATCGAAATTAAAAAAAGGTTATTCTTATTATAGGATTGCTAAACTTCAGCAATAATACAAGATTTTTAAAAGCATCAAGATTATATTTAAAACAAACAAGATGGCATGAAAAAAATGAGACCTTTAGTAACAATTTGACCCTCATTATAATGGATGATTAAAATAGGGAGTTTTTCAAAGTGCTTGATTTGTAGGCATTTCTTTTCTCATCCTGTAATGCAGGAGGAGGGAAAAAATGCTTAATTTCTGAGCTGATGATATGTGCTGACACTGATGCACTGCTGTGTGGTCCAAGGGTAGCTCAGATAGATAGATACCAAACTGAAGACAGTCACATCTGCTTAACCTGGCCCACAACAGGCCATTTAAAAAAAAAAAAAATTATTAGAATTCTAATGTTCTTTAAATCTTACTGTCTTATCTAACAGGTAGGACTGAGGGTCTAGCCAGACTAGCTGAGAGTGCTTCTGGGACAAAACACTGTAATAATACTTGCACAAGATAGGTAAACTTGTTTCATGAGATAATTTTCTCAAGGGTTTCTCTAAAGCTGGCCACACCTCAGTAGGCTGCGAGCGTCTCTTGAATCCAGTGTTTGGTAGAGTTTATATTCAGTTACTTTAGGCAACTTCTCTTAAACATCCAGTTTGTGATGATGATAAAACTAGCTGGTCACCACTTGGATTATTTAGTTATAGTAAACACTTTTTCACATAGCGTAAAGCTACACACTGAGCATTACTAGCCTGGTCCTCAGTGGCTTAGCTGTGGTGCAAAGCAACTGGATCAGGAATCTGCCTGAAGGGCTACATACACCTTTCTGTAGGTTGATGTTTTTTTTTTAAAATGATCAAAAAGGTACCAATGCTGTAAGGACCAGACATCCTTGAATCTTCTGGAAGTTCCTAGCTTTCAGCTGTACTCATTTAAGTGTCTTTTTTTTTTATTATTTTTAAGCTGTTCTTGAACTGCTGTTGTAAAATGCAAACTGAACATGAGAAACAGAAGATGTCTTCTTGTATGTTATCTAGCATCTATAAAAACAGGTGACACTTCATCTACAGTATCCACATTGAGTGGCAGTTATTAAACCAAGAATAGCATTATCCTCCACTTCTCGAAGATACGTGAAATCCCTGTACAAAGTGGGGTAAGCATGATACAGTAAGTTTAACTCAAATTTCTTATAAATAACATCCTACTAATAAAATAGGTTATGCTGTCCTTAGGCAAGGTGGGATTGACATCTGAAAAGCTATCCATGGTTTAATTTCCTAGGGATGTTCTGCCTTTTTCTATTTTAATGCAAATACTCTATTACATAGTAGCTATCTAAGGCTTGTTATGATTGATAGCCTGTCAATACAGTTATTGTCTGAATGATTTTTTTTTTTCTGAGCTAGTGTATGGAACTGTAAGAGTAGGGTAGACAACCTGGTTTTTCTCCAGGATGTTACTTTTCTAGAAAGGAAAGTCTACTCTTTACAGTTTACCAGTACATGTGCTCTCTAACTCCTGCAAGCATATCAAGGCATCAGAAGGCACAGGATCAATGCAAAAAAGCAAGGAGCATTTGTACAGTGGTGCCACAATGCTGTACCTCCCAGCATCACTCTCTTGCAAAGTTAGATCCTTAAGACAGTAAATTAGTAAGAACTACCTAGACTGGTTAAGTGTATGTGCGTTTTTTTAACGCGACCATTTTACATCTATCTATTTCTTGATCACTGAAAAACTAAGAACATCAAAATCTAAAACAGTTTACTTCAATTTTGAAAAAATATTTCTCAGCATATCTCAAAAGGTTGACAAAAGTGCCTGGTTTTCAGTCAGCACAAAAGTCACAGAACTAATTTAAAAGTAATTTAGACAGCGTTAGTTTTACTGTAAATAATGTAAGATTGTTTGGCAGTAGAGTTTTATGATTATATCCCACACAGTGTCAAATTCAGCTACTGCAACTGATATTCAGTGAAGTTGATATCAAATTATAATTTACATCGTTAGGAAAGCTATTAAAAATACTGTACCTTATATTTAATCTTACTACTGAGAAATAGCTGCTGGACAGCACACAAATTGCTACTGTTACTGTTTCTTTTTTTAAAAAGGTTAATAAAATACAAGCAAGGTAGAAAATAGGATTAAAAGCATTGTTTCAGGTACAAGTCTTTCTGAACTGGATGGAGAGATAAGAAACCAGAAAAACACATTGCGCATAGGTGCGCTCTCTGTATAAAGAGAAACATACAAAGTGGGAAACTGTGCACTGGGATAGCACACTAAAGTCTCTGATGCTGTAAACTTGAATTCCTAATTTTATCAAAAAGGGGAATTGAGTCTGGTTCCATTTTGGAGTCTCCATGGGTTGCACTTTGCAGACTACCACATGGTTTGGCACAGTACACTTGTAAGAGGCAGTCTCTGCTGAAGGGACGCCAGGACTGGAAAATGAGGTGTAAAACACGTCAAGATTGGGCGTGCTGGGAGAGTGTGAAAAGTGGCCTCTACCCCCTACTTGGAATTAGCCAATACTGCTAGTGTACTTTCATGACTACTAAGAGTTTCTCTACTTGGAAAAATCAGGCTGAGCTAAGTAAAACTTCTGCTGTTTACTGTAGTTAATTAAGCCAGTACAAGAGGCTGTGCAGACTGGAATTTGTATTTTCAATCCATTTTAGTTTAATTTAGCTCAAGCTGATTCCTAGCAGGTGTAAACTAAACCAAAACAAGAGCATCTTCAGGAGTTTGTGGCCAGCATAACTAAAACAGTTTACTTAAAGGAGTAAGTACAGGTTTTAGATTAACTCTTGTCTTCAACACAGGGATTTTGTAATGTAAGAGGAAACAGGCAGAAGAAACTAAGTATTCGATTAAAAAGCAAGGGGGGTCTTGTTGTTCTTCTAGCAACACCTTTGCTCTCTCCTAAAAATGCTAAGAAGTCTAGTAATGAGTCTGACTCTTGGCTCTTCATTTTTTCTGTTAAGGTTACAGAGGTTGAGTAGGTCAGGTCATTGGGGTAAGATGGCAGAGAAGAGCCCCACGTTAAAGGGCAACAGTGGAAAGAAAATATGAATTAGATGACAAGACCCCCCTCCCCTCCCCCATTGCATAACAAATGTCTGTGCATAACAAATGCAGAATTGTGTCCCACAGACATAAACCTACCTTCTGCTCAGAAGTTACTTAACATTGAGCGTCACAGTTCTATTCGCTAGTTAT